GTGAGACACTTTTCTCTAGCGTTCTTCTACAGCGAGGAGCTCGTGCGCGCGGTTGTCGAGTCATGTTCTCTCGTGCGTTTAAGTGGGCATCTCGTGCGCCTTCGCACAACGTCACCTCCTGCTCGTGCCACGGCGATGAGGATGATGCGAGTGATGCGGACTCGGCACGCGCAGGCACTCTAAACTTGTCGCGCGCGATATTATTACATTTTTTATTAATGGGTATAATTAATGTGTTCAGACAGAATTAATGAACGCGTTATAAGTTGCAAAGTTTCTTCTCCAGATCTTTCTGGATTTTCTCAGTAGGAATTTTCCGTTCCACCTTAAATGGAGCAGCAGTTACATTCTGGCGCATCAGCCATTTAAGGTGGAATGGAAAATTAAAAAAAAATCTGGCAAATAAGGCAACTTTACTCACACATTTCAGGCCAGTGTGATGATTCCTATATGCGATTAGCACCATGCTAGTTGGTGGGCTATAAGCTTCCATTACTTGTTAGCAGCATTAGCTTCATGGCTCCAGCGCTAAAGCTAAAGAAGCAAAATCAGAGATCAAACAGACCTTGGCTGACCACCTCCAGGTGGGGAACCGGGGCTGAACTATCGCTTTAATCCTATCCAGTGGGGCTCAGAGGAGGATGGTTCCCTTTTTAAGTGTTGGTTCCTCTCAGTGGTTCCTCGGGGGGGTTCTCCTGACTCCATCTTCCTCATTAAGTCATCTGCTCACGTTTCTGGAGTAAAGCTGAGGAAGTTCTGTAGAAGTGAGGCTGAGCTGAACTGAAGTAGAGGCAGTAGAGCGGTGGTCCTGGTGGTCCTGCAGGGGGAAGCCCAGCTCAGGCTGCTTTAATCCCGCAACCCCCACCACCGCCCCCCCCCGCCACCGCTACACCTGGCCCTGTCGCTCCGCACCAGCTGGAGAGTGAAGGAGAAGGTCGAGTGATCAGATCAGATCAGAAATGAAGCTGCTCCAAATCAGCACTGAATCATCTCAGGAGAACCAGATCCTTCAACATATCTCATATTTCTTATTGCCTGATTGCAGTAGGAATATGAAAAAAACTTATTTCTAGACTTCTTTTGAGTCATTTTATCTGCTTAAATAGTTTTATTCTTCTCACAGATGATTGTTTTGCCCTCAAATATAATTTCTACGAATAAGTAAAACGATCTGCTGGTGGAATAAGATCAGTTCAGTGGATAAAATTACTGAAAATAAGTGGAAATGTCTTACAGGAATCTTATAATGAGAAATATTAGGTATATTGGCTGCATTAGGACGTTTATAATTTTTGCAGTATATATTCCAGAGAACAGTTTAAGCTTTACTGACCCCTGAACAGTCCAGTTTAGTCATTTTATATGAAATATAATAGAACTATAGTGTAGATGAATCAGGTGAAGTGCTCAGAAATCAAAAATATGAAAAACACTGAAATTCAGAATCAGGATATTTTGTGTTCGCACATCAGCAGATGTGCGCAGGGTGTGTTTACATAATCACAAGTGATTTCTAGGGGTGTAAAGATTCATAAAATTCATGATTCAGTATGATATTATTCAGTGATTTTTCAGTTTAATACATATTAAATACATACAGAATAACTAAGAAGTGCCTGAAAATGTGCCTCATGTTATTATGATGATGTTTCCATTTTCAGTTTATGAGATGTGACGTATAATGTGTTAGCTATGATACAGTACACGACATTACTGTACTTTACGGTGTATACGGTATGATATGACAGGTTACAGTATGTTATGATACAGTACAATATGTTACAACATAGTATGATATGTCAATAACAGTGCAATATGTTATGATACACTATATTACAGAAAAATATAATGTCTTTATGAGACAGCATCATAAATTAAGATACAGTACAGTATGTTATGATATAGTATGATACATTACCATGTAATGGAATATGATACATTGTGTTGTTACACTCCTGGTTGCTGGTGATTTTATAATCTCAGAGCAGAAACACTTTTTGTTCCCTAAAGAGCCAAAACTGTTTGTTCTATGGTATCAGTCCAGAGGACCCTCACTAGCAGCTTTATTTATTAGGGTGTAGGCGACTTTTTCCTCTAGCTTTCACTGGCGCTGCTGTTGTGTTGCTGTTTTGGAGGGTTTGGCTGTGTTAACAGTTACAAAGAGCTCTTAGATTCAGCACATGCGCCTGTGTGAGGTGAGGGTGTGTAGTGTTAACAGAGCTGCTGTGTGTGTTGTTTGTGTAGGTGAAAGTTGGGATGGTGGAGTGAGTGTTGGGGTGAGGGGGGGTGGGTGTTGGGATGGTGGAGTGAGTGTTGGGATGGATGGTGGAGAGAGTGTTGGGATGGTGGGAGTGAGTGTTGGGATGGATGGTGGAGAGAGTGTTGGGATGGTGGGAGTGAGTGTTGGGATGGATGGTGGAGTGAGTGTTGGGATGGGAGACTAAGTGTTGGGATGGGGAGAGAGGGTGTGTTGGGATGGTGAGAGTGAATGTTGGGATGGTGAGAGTGAGTGTTTGGATTGATGGTGGAGAGAGTGTTGGGATGGGGCACTAAGTGTTGGGATGGGGAGTGAGGGTGTGTTGGGATGGGGGAGTGAGTGTTGGGATGGTGAGAGTGAGTGTTTGGATTGATGGTGGAGAGAGTGTTGGGATGGGGCACTAAGTGTTGGGATGGGGAGTGAGGGTGTGTTGGGATGGGGGGGTGGGTGTTGGGATGGTGGAGTGAGTGTTGGGATGGATGGTGGAGAGAGTGTTGGGATGGTGGGAGTGAGTGTTGGGATGGATGGTGGAGAGAGTGTTGGGATGGTGGGAGTGAGTGTTGGGATGGATGGTGGAGTGAGTGTTGGGATGGGAGACTAAGTGTTGGGATGGGGAGAGAGGGTGTGTTGGGATGGTGAGAGTGAATGTTGGGATGGTGAGAGTGAGTGTTTGGATTGATGGTGGAGAGAGTGTTGGGATGGGGCACTAAGTGTTGGGATGGGGAGTGAGGGTGTGTTGGGATGGGGGAGTGAGTGTTGGGATGGTGAGAGTGAGTGTTTGGATTGATGGTGGAGAGAGTGTTGGGATGGGGCACTAAGTGTTGGGATGGGGGAGTGAGTGTTGGGATGGTGAGAGTGAATGTTGGGATGGTGGGAGTGAGTGTTTGGATGGTGGGAGTGAGTGTTGGGATGGCGAGAGTGAGTGTGTGGATGGCAGGAATGAGTGTTTGGATGGTGGAGTGAGTGTTGGGATGGTGAGAGTGAATGTTTGGATGGCAGGAGTGAGTGTTTGGATGGTGGGAGTGAGTGTTGGTATGGTGGGAGTGAGTGTTGGGATGGTGAGAGTGAGTGTTGGGATGGCAGGAGTGAGTGTTTGGATGGTGGGCAGGAGTGAGTGTTTGGATGGTGGGAATGAGTGTTGGGATGGTGCAGTGAGGTTTGGGATGGTGGGAGTGAGTGTTGGGATGGTGAGAGTGAATGTTGGGATGGTGAGGGTGAGGGTGTGTTGGGATGGGGGAGTGAGTGTTGGGATGGTGAGAGTGAATGTTGGGATGGTGAGAGTGAGTGTTGGGATGGTGGAGTGAATGTTGGGATGGTGGAGTGAATGTTGGGATGGGAGGAGTGAGTGTTTGGATGGTGAGAGTGTGTGTTTGGATGGTGGGAGTGAGTGTTTGGATGGTGGGAGTGAGTGTTGGGATGGCGAGAGTGAGTGTGTGGATGGCAAGAATGAGTGTTTGGATGGTGGAGTGAGTGTTGGGATGGTGAGAGTGAATGTTTGGATGGCAGGAGTGAGTGTTTGGATGGTGAGAGTGAGTGTTGGGATGGTGGGAGTGAGTGTTGGGATGGTGAGAGTGAGTGTTTGGATGGCAGGAGTGAGTGTTTGGATGATGGGCAGGAGTGAGTGTTTGGATGGTGGGAATGAGTGTTGGGATGGTGGAGTGAGGGTTGGGATGGTGGGAGTGACTGTTGGGATGGTGAGAGTGAGTGTTGGTATGGTGGGAGTGAGTGTTGACATGGTGAAAGTGAGTGTTTCGATGGCAGGAGTGAGTGTTTGGATGGTGGGAGTGAGTGTTGGGATGGTGGAGTGAATGTTGGGATGGTGTGAGAGTGTTGGATGGTGAGAGTGAGTGTTGAGACAGCAGGAGTGAGTGTTGGATGGTGAGAGTGAGTGTTGGGAAGGCAGAAGTGAGTGTTTGGATGGTAGGAGTGAGTGTTGGATGGTGAGAGTGTGTGTTTGGATGGTGGGAGTGAGTGTTGTTATGGTGGGAGTGAGTGTTGACATGGTGGAGTGAATGTTGGGATGGTGTAAGTGAGTGTTGGGATGGTGAGAGTGAGTGTTTGGATGGCAGGAGTGAGTGTTGGGATAGTGGGAGTGAATGTTGGGATGGTGGAGTGAATGTTGGGATGGTGTGAGAGTGTTGGATGGTAAGAGTGTGTGTTGGGACGGCAGGAGTGAGTGTTTGGATGGTGAGAGTGAGTGTTGGGATGGCAGGAGTGAGTGTTGGAATGGTGGCGTGAGTGTTTGGATGGTGGAGTGAATGTTGGGATGGTGGGAGTGAGTGTTGGGATGGTGGGAGTGACTGTTGGGATGGTGAGAGTGAGTGTTGTTATGGTGGGAGTGAGTGTTGACATGGTGACAGTGAGTGTTTGGATGGCAGGAATGAGTGTTTGTATGGTGGGAGTGAGTGTTGGGATGGTGGAGTGAATGTTGGGATGGTGTGAGTGAGTGTTTGGATTGTGGGAGTGAGTGTTTGGATGGCAGGAGTGAGTGTTGGGATAGTGGGAGTGAATGTTGGGATGGTGGAGTGAATGTTGGGATGGTGTGAGAGTGTTGGATGGTGAGAGTGAGTGTTGGGACGGCAGAAGTGAGTGTTTGGATGGTGAGAGTGAGTGTTGGGACGGCAGGAGTGAGTGTTTGGATGGTAGGAGTGATTGTTGGATGGTGAGAGTGTGTGTTTGGATGGTGGGAGTGAGTGTTGGGATGGTGGAGTGAGTGTTTGGATGGTGGAGTGAGTGTTGGGAT